CTTAGGCACRATGGACCTTCAACATATGCAAAAAAACAAAAACAAAAACAAGAGAATTTTCCCATAGGGAACACAGTATCTGTGTTCACACGGAAAAGTGTCCTTCCAATTGCCAGAAGACAGAGATTGGCCTGGAAACAGAACTAGGTAAAAGTGCCACAAAGCCTTTAYGGAATTCTTCCCCAAGCCCTCTCACATCACTGAGCACAGCTCAGAAGGGACTTTGGCAGTCACTTTTCAAATCTTCTGCCTGATCTCCATGTTACCATAGTCACATTTGCTGGGGAAAAACAGGTGTTTCTGTTAAAATTAGCTGTTTCAAACTGCCAAACATTTTAGATCTCTATGCCAGTTCAAGAAGAACAGTGTTTATAAAATAACCAATCAGATGTTAACTAATGCCTCCAGAGTTATAGAGGTTGGGGGAGAACACACAAATGAACCCCCACACACAGTTAATTTTTTGCATTTGCTAACATCAACCCAGAATGAATAATAAAGGCTGAACTTAAAACAGCCAAAGAGTGATGCTTTTTTTTTCTGGTTAAGTGAAGTCTTGTGTTTGAAAGCCTGTTTTGTCCCATTAGCTTGGGTTGACTGTCATAAATAATGGCTTTGTTCAGAGACTAAACTATAATGATTTCCTTTTCTCATGACCATTCCAACGTTGTCAGCAACCCCTGGGCAGGATGGTATGCATTAAGCTTGTGTAAGAAACCTTGCCCTGAGAAGTCAGAAGAACCCACTGATTGATGTCTTAAATTAACTGCAGTGTGGTTTACTTTAAGAGAAGTCAGGCCATTCTGATTTTATTCCTGGAACCAGTATCTCTGCTGACCTTATTAAACCCTATTATGAAATAGGTCTGAGATATTCCTTTTCAAAAATAAGGCCATATTTTAAAAAACAAATTTAGCAACCTGGTACACTGGAAGAAAGACTGTGCCCAAGTCCCTTGCCTAGTCAAGGGATGCAGACACTCAGAAATAATGTGCAGTATGTTCCTCACTCTGGCTTCTTGAAATCTGCTGGGAAAAACAATCTGATTATAATTCATTTCAAGACCCTGCTAAAAGAAAAGCCCTGAATCTTACCTCATGAACTGAGTAGGTAAGAGTTTAAGTACCACTTATATTAAGTTTGAAACTTTATCAGTTTGAGGACAGAGGTATTATATACCAGGTACATTGAGAGGAACTATCATTTGACTAAGAGAAAGTTTCCAAATTAATTTAGAGACTAGCTAGTCCAAGTAGATAGGGCAAATGATTTTATTTTTTCCTTACCATTTTTTTTTTTTTTTGGTTTGAATTTTCCTGAAAATTGCTTCTGTGAGAAATGAGTCCAGGAAAACATTAGCAATTCTTTTTTCTTAACAAAACTCTAAATTTACAGATTTCTGGTTCTTACTTTACTTAGTTTACTTTTTTTGTGATCTGCATAGGTTAAATGAGCCGTATGGTTACAGATTCTATCATTAGTTGTATACATCCAATAAAGTAAGAATTTTATAGAATTGTCATTGACACATGAGTTCCCTCTCCCCAGCAAAATCTTCCTGAACCTGATCCAGATAGATACATTTTACAGAAGGGTGGGGAGGAGGAATAAACACTCAAGGTCACTTTCATCTTTTACTTTAAAAGTATAAACTTACCAGGTCCTTAAAAAGAAAAACTGCCCCCTTGACCATTATGAAACATGTATGTACTCTATACCACTTTAAGACTTATTCAATTCCAAATTTGCAAAACGGTCCTAGTCTTACCCCCAAACAAAGTGAAAGACATTTACACACTGAATTTCACATTCTTGCAATAAACACAGTCATTCAAACAAATAAAACAGTCAAAATGACTTTCTTCTCTCTAATGTATTACAGTGAAAAATTCTCTTTAGATCTGTGGGAACTGCAAAGGTTTAAGCATAACAAATCCTTAGGAAAAAATGTAAACCATACAAATTTAAGGTACATATGAGTTTTTATCCATGTGGCCCTCCTAGATTTCAAGAACTATAAATAAATGTTGTTATTCTTTTAGAAAGAAAATGTTCAACATTTTAACTAGGTATGTTAAAACTATACATTCCACTACTACCCCACCCCCCCAAAAAATCCCCTTAAATGTCTGCAGMCTACCTTACCATAACTCCAAATTTCAATCAACAAAGCATTCTTTCAACATACAATCAATCATGGCATATCTTAAGAGATCAAGGTCACAAAAATAAGTTGCAATTATACTGTAACTCTAAAAAAGTTCTTACTTTCCAGATTACATCTTTTGCAATGAAAATCTAGAACCTTTACTTTTTCTCCCTAAAATTGTAGGGATCTTGTCTCAATAGRCTTATCTACATGAAAGATGCTAAAGATTCTTACTTGATATACAGTACTTTAAGTTCCATACATAGATCCTCCCAGCTGAGAAGGCAGCCCACACAGGATTAGGAAGTGCTTTAATCTGAAAATGACAGTCAGAATACAAATCAGATCTGAACTTCAGATCATTATGATGGAAAGATGAGTGGAGACAAAGCTAAATTACTTTGCAGAAGAAGCAAGACAACCTCCCCAAAGCAGTTCATCCCAGGCACTATATATACATAACTTAATCATATTCCTGATACCTGCCTTCAAAGATAGGGTTGAGAATTGGGGACCTTCCTCATCACTATTGAAAGTAGCCTTTCCACTGTCCCTTTCTTAGATGACATAAAGCATACAAAAATACTATTGAAAATCAAACAATAATTGCAAAAAGCCATCTGAGAAACATAACATTTTAATAGATGAAATAAATACTCCAGTACATGCAAGGTAAAAACTTGACACTGGGGGAAAAAAAAATCACTCTATGGTGTAAATTAAAAAATAAAACACGCTCACAGTAGCTTTCCCCCCATTTGCAAATCACATGGCAAAGTCATACTCTTTTCACACCAATATACTCCTAATTCAACACAATTGCTTAAAAAAATAACATACAAAAAAAAAAAAAGGTAGCTACATCCATGTCTAAGGAGTGAAACTGAGGTAACCTTTCTTTTAATTAAAATAAAAAAGAAGAAATGAACCCATGACCTCCTTCCTGCCCAATTAATAAAATTCAGTTGACAGACAGGGGTGGGTGTAGGGGTAAAACCACAACCAGCAGATTACCCATTTTCTGCTCCCCACTCCTGTATGGGCTGCTTGACACCTGGGCTCTTCGGTGCATGTGAGTTGTGTGCGTGGCCCTGACTTCTGGAAGATTCCTCTTGGGCAATTAACATGGTGGGGG